AGCTCTATAAATGGCCACAATAGCTCTGAATTGCTCCACTGCCCTAATATGCATTTATTCCTGCTGTTTCCACATCCCCTCCTTCCACTCTCTCTTAGCTCACCATTTCACTGGGACAGGCCTTATCAAGGTCACCAATCATCCACATTCCAATGGTTAATTTTCAGTCCTCATCTGAAGTGATCTATCAGCAGTATTTGCCAGAGTTGGCTACTCCTTCTTACTTTAAAGGTTTTCTGTAAATATTTCAGTACGTAGTTCCTAAAATATAACACTATAGAACCTCAATACTGCAATACCGTTATCACATCTAAAATAATTAACAATACTTTTTTAACATCATTAACTATCTAGCAGGCATTCCAATTTCCACTTGTCTCATAAACGTCACAATTATGTCAATTTTTTGGTTGTTGAGTCAGTATCTAAATAATGTCCACACATTTTGATTGGTTGATACGTCTAAATTTCCTTTTAGTCTGTAGGTTCCACCTTCATCTTTTTTCCTTCTATGTAATTTCTTTATTGAATAAACTGGATTGTTCGTTCAATGGCTCCTCCCTTATTGAAACATATTCTTTTCTTGGCCTCTGAGATACTCTCTGAGATACCATGAGATTCTCCACCTACCTCATGGACCATTCCTACTTAGTCTCTTTCAGCTGTTCTTGTGATCTCTCTGGCCTCTGAAAGTAGAGGGCTCAGGGTTCAGTCCTCCGCCTTCTTTCTTCTTGATCTACATTGATCCCTGGGTGATCCCATCTAGTCTAATGACTTTAAAGACTTATCTAAATGCTGATGACTCCCAAGCGCCCCCTAAACCCTAGACTCTTACATCTATCAACATCCATGACTGTTTATCTAATAGACATCTAAAATTAACCTATCCCAAACTGAGCTCTTAATTCTACCCCTAAAATATCCTGCTACTACAGACTTCCTCCTCCAACGAGGTAAATGACTCTATCCTTTCGATTTCTTGGAACAAAATCCTAGGAGGATTGACTCCTCTTCTCACACTACACATCTAATTCATTAGCAAATCCTGTCACATCTACCTTCATAAAATCTGACCATTTCTCACTACCTCCACCACTAGTTGCCTAATCTAAACCACTTTCACCTCTTACCTGGATTATTGAAATTGCCACCTAAGTGTTTTCCCTGCTTCTACCTGTTCTCTCTTTCAGTTTATTCTCCAGAAAGCAATTCTTTTCAAAAGTAAGTCATATCATGTCACTATTATGCTCAAAAAATTTCTGTCTCACCCAGAGTAAAAGCCAAAGTCCTTACCACAGCCTATTAAGTCCTACCTGATCTGACTACCATGCCCTGCCTCTCTGACCTCATCTCGCTCCCTCTCTCCCCGACCCGCCATCATCCCAGTCATGCTGGCCTCTTTGCTGTTTCTCAAATATGTCAAGAACACTTGTATCTCAGGACTGTACACCTGCTGTTCCTTGGAACACGCTGCTACCATTTATCTGCATGGCTTGCTACCTCACTTCCTTCATGTTTCTTTTATTCTTTTTCTTCATAACACTTACACCTTATGACATAATGTACTTGTTAATTTGATTGTCTGTCTTCCCCCATTAGATTATAATCCTAAGAAGCTATTTTGTTCACAGCTGTCTCCTCAGTGCCTAAAAGAGTACCTAGCATAAAGTAGATGCTCAATAAATATTTCCTGAATGAGTAGATGGATAGGTGGATGAATCAATGAATGCATACATTAGAATTGTGGAAAAGGTGGTCCTTCAGATTATGTCACTACTCACTACTTTTTTCTTTAACTCCTCCTTTCCAGTCCACTGGTAACCTCCTTTTGTCTTTATGGATTTACCTATTCTAGATATTTCATGTAAGTGGGATCGTATAATATTTGTCCCTTTGTGTCTGGCTTATATCGCTTAGCATAATGTTTTCAAGGCTCATCCGTGTGGTGGCATGTGTCAGAGCTTCACTTTTCTTTATAGCTGAATAATATTCCATTGTATGTATACACTATATTTTGTTTATCCAGTCATCTGTTGATGGCTACTTAAGTTGTGTCAACCTTTTGGCGATTGTGAATAATGCTGCAATGAACATTGGTGTATATGTGTCTGTTTGAGTTGCTACTTTCAATTCTTTTGAGTATATATCTAGGAGTGGAGTTGCTGGATCATATGGTATTTCTGTTTAACTTCTTTTCTGATCCACCAAACTATTTTGCACAGGAGCTGTACCATTTTACATTCTCACTAGCAATGTGTTAGTGTTCTGGTTTTTCCATATCCTCCCCAGCACTTGTTATTTTTCTGCTAATGGCCGTGCTTGTGGGTATGAAGTGGTATCTCACTGCGATTTTGATCTGCATTTCCCTAATAACTAATGATGTTGGGCATCTTTTCATGTGTTTGTTGGTGATTTGTATATCTTCTTTGGAGAAATGTCTATTCCAGTCCTTCACCCATCTTTTAATTGGGTTGTTAGTCTTTTTTGTTGTTGAGTTTTATGAGTTCTTTATATATTCTGAATAGTAAACCCTTATATGACATATAGCTTCCATATATTTTCTCCCATTCTGTAGGTTGTCTTTTCAGTCTTTTGATAATGTTGCTTGATGCACAAAAGTTTTTAATTTTGATGAAATTCAGTTTATCTATGTTTTTGCTTGTGCTTTTGGTGTCATATCTAAAAACCTATTGCCTAAAAGAAGGTCCCAAAGGATTACTGCTATGTTTCATTTTAACAGTTTAATGGCCTTAACTCTTATATTTAGGTCATTGATCCATTTTAAGTTAATTTTCATATGTGGAAATGTGGAAATCCAGTTGTCCAAGCACCATTTATTGAAAGGACTATTCTTTCCCCATTTAATATCCATTGGCACCCTTACTGAAAATCCATTGACCATAGATGTATGGGTTTATTTCTGGATTCTTATTTCTATTCCATTGGTCTATATATTGATCCTTATATCAGTACCACACTGTTTATATTACTGTAGCTTTGTAGTACGTATTGAAATTGGGAAGTGTGAGTCCACTACTCAGTACTTTGAAAACTTTGAAGGGAAAAAAGAAGGAATAAATAGGAGATTTTTCTCTATATAAAATCTTATTTTGCTCTTCCAATAGGTAGTAGCCAGATCTAGACACCAAAGAGACAGAGCTGGAGCTGGTGGTGCCAAGCAATGCTGCCTTTTTCACCTCTGAATTCAAGGTCTTGCAGAACGTTTTTAAAGATGGACTACCAAGGGGTGGGAACGTTATTAACTGGCCCAAAGCAGAGGAAGTTGACTAATTGTTGCTAAAATATTAGACAACCTCTCCTTCCCATAAAAAAATTAAAGATCGGAAAACTTGAGTCAATAGCAAGTAGACTAAATCGGACTGGAGATTGGAATTAGAGAAGAGATACACAGAAAGGCCTCCATACATTCAACTAATGATGCCTTAAAAAATATTCCTCACAGTCAGAAACTATGCCTTCTCCCAGCACAACTGGACTAAACCAAAGCTAAGAAGTTTCCTCAATACAATCAAATACTTTGAGAGACAGAGTAGCAGGGATGCAGGGTCTGGCGACCATGCTTTCAGGGGACATCTATGTCAATTGGCATAACAAAGCTTATTAAGAAAATGTTCTGCATCCTACTTTGGTGAGTGGTGTCTGGGGTCTTAAAAGCTTGCAAGCGGCCATCTAAGATGCATCAATTGGTCCCAACCACTTGGAGTAAAGGAGAACGAAGAACACCAAAGACAC